GTGTCTCTAGAGACCCCAACGGGGGCTCCTTCTCCATGAGCCTGGCTAGCTCAGTCGGTAGAGCATCAGACTTTTAATCTGAGGGTTCAGGGTTCAATTCCCTGGTCAGGTGAGAAAGGGCCCTACACCCCTCCCTGGGGCTTTCCTGTGTCTTTCTTCCTCCAGGGAGTCTTCCTTTTCCCTCTTCAGTACCTGGCCTTTCCTTCCCCGGGGCTATTTCCTGCCTGCTGTGACGGCGCGTTGGGGGTTCTCCGTCTCCTGCACCCCGAAATGGCACAAACAGACTGCACCAGCCACTGCACTTACAGTGCAGCACAGATGTAATCTGGTTACAGGAACTGGGGCTAAGATGCCTCAGTGCCCCCCTTGAGATAGGGGAGTCCCAGCCCCCTCCCCAGCTCCTTATTTCCTGCCTTCCAGCCAGGAACTAACTAACCCTCTACCAGCCCTGCCCCCCAGCCAGGAAGCATTCCACCTTCCTTTGTTCCTCTGCATGGGGGGTGTCTGGCCCCTGGTTCAACAGGTTTGGCATTACCTCTGCCTAGTGAGGCTTTCCCTGCTGGGTCTTGCTCCAGACAGCAGGGGTCACCAGAGCCCAGCAAGTACCCCCACTACATCACACCTGCTGCTCCACGGGCAACTTCCCCGCTGGCCTCCCCTTCTGCAGGAACAAAGGCCTCCGGGCCTCCACCAGGGCCCCGTCACGCGGCTCCGTCTATCGAGCCGACGCCGGGGTGCAGACAAAGCAGAGGGAGGCCAAAAGGGCACCTCTGGCTCCGAGCCTTCGGGACCAACTCAGGGTATGATTAACACATGAAAAAAATTAACGCGTTAATCGCAGGCAGCATTTCAAAGGGGAAACACACGTGATTAATCACCATTAAATTTTTTAATCGCTTGACAACCCTAGTTTAAAAATAATACAACCTCAATCCAGGCTCTTCTATGCTCTGTGATGGCAAAGGATTCGGGCTCTTGCCCTCACTTTGGGGCTCAGACTCAGGCTCAAAGACAGGATGACCCTTGGCTTTAGGGGCTGGGATGGAACTGCTGGAGTTTTTGCTGAGCAAGGACAGGATCAAGCCCACCATGGAGGCTCAGGTGCTGGAGGGGAGGGGTCATTTACAGGACTTGGTTAGAGAGAGTCCCTCAGTGCTGGGTGTGCACTAACTGCCAAGTGCAGCTCTTGGCAGCCAGCCTGCTCTGACTCACACAGCGAGAATCGAAACCGAGCAGGGAGTCTGTAAAGCAGAAGCAGGCATTCCAGAGGAGCGTGGCAGCTGGAGTGACAGGGCCCTGCAATCACGTGGCACCTGGGGCCAGGCTAATACTGCACTTCCCACGGCTCCTCCTACAGACATCACAAGCTCCCTGACGGCTGCTCCGATGGCTGTGGATCTTTACCAGACCCCAGCTCGGAAGCTGGATAAGTTTATTTTCGACAACCTGCAGCCCGACTGCACCTTCCTGCGCCAGGCTGGCCAAGCCATCGACACCATCTGCGAGTTCCTGAAGACAAACTGCTTCGTTGACCAACCCGCGCCCCGCACTAAGGTGCTGAAGATTATTAAGGTGCGTGGGGGGGCACGGCAGGGTGCAGCCTGTCCCTGGTGCTCTGGCACAGTCGCTGGGGGTGTGCATCAGGCGGCTGCTTTGCACAGGGTGCAGCTGGGCAATGCCAGGTAGGAGCCATCTGCCCTGTGTGGCCAGGCTGTTCTGAACACATGTCCGGGACGCAGGAGAGAAGGACAAGTCACCAGGTCCCAGGTGATCTGATGCTTTGATCCTTAGGCGTTGGGAGACCCCGGAGCAATGGGCACAGGGTCCCGACTGTAACTCCCTGAGCCACTGCCCCCTGCAAGAGTTGCTGAGGGTCTGGGGGCCTCCAGGGGAGCCTGGGGATTGCATGAGGCTTTGCTAGGAGGGATGGTGGCAAGGAGCGGTGTGGTTACACAGCGAGGAGCAGGCCGGAAGGCGTAGGCAGAGCACTGGCATGACCCTTTTGAAGGGAAGGGGGGCTCTCACCTGGCAGCCCACAACAAGCCTCGCTTACATCTGGGAGTCAATTCCTGCCAAGACCAGTGGGTGGGGGGAGTGGGAGGGGCCAGTAGCTTGGCTTGCCCAGGTGGAGGAGAGCTGGCGGGGACCTCGCAGGGCACTAGAGCAGAGGTGAGGAACCTACAGCCTAACGGCCAAATACAGCCCTTGGCTTCCCTGGATCTAGCCCCTGAGGCCTGCTCCTGCACCGTCCCACCCTCCCAGATCCATCAACCCCCAACCCATCCCAGACTCCACACCCCAAGCTCACGTCCCAGCAACCTCCTCCCACACTGAACCCCTCATTTTTGGCCCAATTCCAGAAGGGTTTTGGTTTGGTTTTTGCGTCTCTCTTTTGTATGGCCTGTGAATGATTTTTCTGTGCGTCCCGATGCAAAAAAGGTTCCCCACTCCTGGGCTAGAGGAAGGAGCAGTGGACGTGGGTTCTGTGGCCAGAAGCTCTGGGCAGGGGACAGGGAAAGGGAAAAGGTGAATGATCACCAAAGTCAAGCCAGATGGTTACCTTGGTGTGACAAAGTCGGGATTGGATTCACTCTGTTCACTTTGTAATGTTGCATGTGATTTCTACTGTCCTGCGGTAACCCTGTGTGTGTGCCTCAGTTTCCCTGCACATACACAATGGCCCAGGCTCATGGTAACCGGAGCTTGGGAGGGGATGTGTGACTAGGTGACACCCAGTGACAATATGTGACAAGGTAACAGCTAGTGACAATGTGTGACTAAGTGACACCTTTTGCCTGGGAAGCAAGACAAAGGCAGAAGGTGGGGCTAGCTTAGACAGAGATAAGCTGCGGAGGGTGACAGTCCTGTTGGCATGGGGTGCACAGATGGAGAACAGGGACCTTGCTCTGGGCCCCCCGTCACCCCAAGTTTATTGTACTGACTACTCCTGGTTCCCATGCTAACAAGTCTTTTCTACACTGTGACCCTGTGAACTAATACAGTGGTTCCCAACCTTTTTTATATTGGGGACCAACAAACCCATTCACAAACTTTTAGTGGACTGGTAACATTTTATTTGCATATTCATTATGGTAATTAATTTTAGGAGGTCACGTTATTTCATATCACATCTGTATACACACTATACATGTCTTTGTAATGGATCAGAGTTTGCAGATATCTGCAACATTAAAAAAAACTCTGTTAAAAGAATCCTTTCCTTTCTAAAGCCATTAACACCTATGTAAACTTTGTTTGAAATCTTCAGAGGGGTAACCGAGTTATGCAAATGTCATGAGCGAGGCCTTTTGTTTCAGTATTCTAAAGCTGCCTAAACACTTTTAACTCACCTGAAATTTTGGCACCACCTCATACAACCTGCCCCAGCCTAGAAGAGAATCCTGTGTCTGCAGCAGAACTAGGGATGCTGTGCTGAGACAGACAAGGTTTGACTATTGCTGCCTGCAGCCCACAGGGAAACAAGTCAAGACACCCCAAAATCCGCTCCTCACTGCACAGGTGCCAGCACCCCCATTTCCCTCACCTGCCCCTTGCAATCTGCTGCCTCTCTCCCAGACCAGGAACCTGCTGTAATCAAACCTCTCCTCTCCCGTCCTTACTGCACACTCCAGATTCCCTTTCCCTCTGGCTCTGTTCCATCCCAGATACTTACACCCTTCTTCCTTATGTCCCCTTCCCTATCAGCACACTCATTATCTGGAGCAGGGAGCTTCTGCTGCTGGCAGCCCTAAACCTCTGGGCCAGGCTCAATTAGCAGCTGCTTGGCCCTGCTGCCGGGCAGTTTACAGGAAACTTAGCCAATTATCAAGGCATGGGCGTGGCCTGGCAGAGTGCCACGGCCCAGCAGCCAGTGGTTCACAGACCAGCACCAGTCCATGGACCAGTGGTTGTAATAAACCTTGTGTTCTACCTGTTGGCTAGGAGTCATGTGAATGGGGGTACAGGGCCTGGTGGCTCCCCCTGGTGACACTAGGTGCAAGTGATCATTCATGGCCTAACTTAATTTGCTCTGTACAAACAGGAGATAGACTGTCCCAGAGCTGCAAACAGTCCTCAGCAAAACTGAATAGGAGAAGTAACAAAAACATAAAAATATGAATGAGAAATAGGAGCTGTTAGAATGCTACACTGCCTGCCTAAGAAATCACACAACTGCAATTACGCAGGAAGCCTTCTTTGGTTAAAAGGCATTATGGTTAAGAGGGAAGGGGAAAGCAGCAATTATCACACAGACACACACACAGAAAAAATATAAGGGAAAAATGGAGACGCTCATAACAGTGATTACAACCTGGCAGTTAGGAACCGCAGACAGTTGATAAGAGAAGTTAAAGGCATCATAAATCTATGGCCAATAGGGTTAAGGACCATACAATTATTTCAGAACTCAAATGTGTGTGTGTGGTAGAGTTCTAATGCTAGATAAGTATTGTTAAACCTGTCAGCCAGGATGCAGAAAGGACAGAAGTGTTCTGTATGTGGACAGAAACAGAATGAAATATTAATCTTTTCACTTACAATGAAATAACTAGGGAGGATGCTGAACAGCAACTATTACATTTTAAAATCTTCAGGACTGGGTAATTTACACCCAAGATTATTAAAAGAATTGTCCAAGGAGCCATTTATGACATTAATGTTGATTTTTAACAAATTTTGGACACTGAGGAAGATCCAGAGCACTGAAAAAGGCTAATTTGCCAGTATTTAAAAAGGGGGAAAGGAATGAGCCAGGTGACTATGAACTGGGTGGCCATGAATATCAGTTCCAAACAAAATTCTGGAAGACTGGTCTGAAGTTAAATCCGTAAGGCAGAATACTTAATACTAGTCAACATGATTTTATAGCCAACGGATCTTGTGAAACAAATCATGTTTTTGGATGACATTACAAATTTGGGGTTAGACCCACAAAGGGATTTAAGCTTCTAACTGCCACTTTAGACACCTAAATACAAAATTTAGATCCTCAAAACCTCTTAACCCTGTCGGCTATTCCCAGGAGTGACTGCAAGCGTCTCATCCCAGGGAGTGTGAGGTGCAAGATCCTGTCCTGAATCAAGCGAAGTGGGTATCTGAAACAGGCTCTCCCATGTCCTAGGAGTGTGCGTCTCCTTCTCCAGCAGTTGTTTGAGTGGAGCCTGTTTTCGGGTGGCTGGCTGGCTCTCCCTGTGCATTGCATAGGCAGGCTGGATGTCTCCCCTGGACTGTGGCTGCCACTGAATGGCAGAGCACCTGACTTTAGGCTTCAGGTTTTGTGTTTCTATTCTTGGTGCACAGAAAAATTATTCTGCACATGGACGGAAAAAATACACACATGGATGGAAAAGATTAGTGGGAACATTGGGTAGGAGGTGGGGATGTAAATATCTCTTTAAAAAGTTAACTTGTCAGAGGGGATGCTCCAGCTGGCCGGGCCACAGTGCCCTTCAATTAACCAACTACCCGGTAAGCATACTGGTAAGACTAATGTTTACTAGGTAAACAGTTAACCTTTTACATCTCTAGTAGGAGGTGACATATGGAAAAGATTAGTGGGAACATTGGGTAGGAGGTGGGGATGTAAATATCTCTTTAAAAAGTTAACTTGTCAGAGGGGATGCTCCAGCTGGCCGGGCCACAGTGCCCTTCAATTAACCAACTACCCGGTAAGCATACTGGTAAGACTAATGTTTACTAGGTAAACAGTTAACCTTTTACATCTCTAGTAGGAGGTGACATGATCGGAAGGTGACACTGGACAAATTTGGACTACAGGAAGATGCCCTTTATTTAATAGGCGAGGGGGAGGGTCATTAACCCAAGAAACTGCTTAACCTAGGACATGGTGGCTTCTGCATCCCTTGAAGTCTTTCAGTCAAACTGGGTGTCTTTCTAGCAGGCCTGCTGTAGCCCAGCCAGACATGATGGGCTGCATGCAGGAGTCCTGGGGTGGAGGTCTAGGGCTGGTGTTCTGCAGGACTCAAGACGTGCTGAGCACAGTGATCCTTTCTGCTGGTGGGATGTGCAGGATGGGGAGGGGCTAATTCTCCTCTCCTGGCAGGGCGGCTCCTTGGGCAAAGGCACCTCCCTGAAAGGCATCTCCGATGCTGACCTGGTGGTGTTCCTCAGCTGCTTCAAGGGGTACGATGATCAGGAAAGGAACCGGGCTGAGATCATCAGAGAGATCCGGAGGATGCTGGAGAAGTGCCAGCAACAGAAGCAATTTGACGTGATCTTTGAGACGTCCCAGTGGTCGAACCCCCGTGTATTGAGCTTCCAGCTGCATTCCAAGATGCTCAACGAATCCATAGATTTTGACGTGCTGCCAGCCTACAATGCCCTGTGTACGTCCTGCTGCCCCTCCTGCCCTCCCCAAATGGTGCCCTGCCCTCTGGCCTCTTTGCTCCCAGCCTGCCTGCCAGGCCTCTGCCCCCCTCCCGGGTCCTTCTGCAGAGTAGCCCCAGCTCTGCTCCCCTGTGCTGCCAGATGGAGCTCAGCTTGGCATGCACCTCTCTGTTCATGTTCCTGCCAGCCTCGAGTGCCAAGCCTGACCCCCAGGTGTACGAGGATCTGATTGTCAGCTACTCCCGGGGGGGCGAGTTCTCCACCTGCTTCACGGAGCTGCAGCGGGATTTTGTGGTGGATCGCTACACTAAAGTGAAGAGCCTGATCCGCCTGGTGAAACACTGGTACAAGCAGGTACAGCAGCCAGGCCAGAGCCTCTGGGGCAGGATGTGTGGGGGAGGGGCAGTTTGCCCTTCCACTTCCCCTGACTGGCACAGCAAAGCCCTTCGCTAAATGCTTTTCCTTCCGGGCTGGAATGGAGCCTGAACGGCGCTGGCACAGGCAGGGCACTGTGGTGAGGAAGCTCACTGGGCCGGAGCATTGCCTGCCACTGGAAGGGCCAGTGGTGGGGAACTCTGCTGCCTCAGTCCTTTCCTGTGTAGATTTTGGGGTATGAAATGGGCAGCAAATCAGGTCTTACGTCTGTTCCTCTTGTTCGTGACAGTACGTGTGTCCGCACAAAAAGTACCTGAGCAAGGGGAAGGAGTTCCTGCCCCCCCAGTACGCGCTGGAGCTCCTGTCCATCTATGCCTGGGAGCGCGGAAGCAAGAATCGAGGCTTTGACATGGCCAAAGGCTTCCGGACGGTGCTGGAGCTGATCCAGCAATATAAGCAGCTCTGTGTCTATTGGACCGTCAACTACAACTTTGCAGACGAGGAGCTGGCACAGTTCCTGCACCGTCAGCTCCAGAAAACCAGGTCAGTTCCCTCCAGGGGGATGTTTATCCTCTCCCATCCCTGTGCCCCACCCGCCCTGCTCCCTGCATCGCTGCTCCTGGCCTTGGGCAGTCCCTGTCCGGGTCTGGGAGCAGCAGGCAGGGCCATGACACCGGCAGCAAGGTGGGTGCTCTGGGTTCCGTCTAGGCTGGAGCAGGGAGTGCAGGATGTGAGGGGTCTCGAGGCTGCTGGCTCCTGGGAGGGGGTTGCGCTCCAGGCGAGACGTGCTGTCCTAGGCATAGGCAGCCGGAGGTTACACTGGGACTGCTCCGGAGCACCTGAAGCTCAGCTCCCCACCTTGCCAAGGAGTCTGCGCTGACCCCCCAGGTGCATGGTCCCAGGCTGCTGCTCCAGTGGGGAAGAGGCAGCTGCAGCACAGCTGAGCACAGAAACCCAAAATCAGGAGATGTGAGGTGTTTTATTTCCTCCTTTTGATACCCGCAGATCGTGTCTGGGCTGCGGGATGGTGAAGGGAGCTTGGAACCCCCCTCCACAGGACTCCTTTCCAGCCAATACATGCTGTCGTCCGGGGGGGGTTGACACAGTACCACGGCAGCACACCCTCCCCTTCCCCCCCCCAGGCATCAGCTTGGCCTTTCCCAGAGCTTGCCCACCCCACAGCACACCTCCCTCCCCTTCCCCCGCCCAGAAATCACATCATATTTCCCAGGGCTTGCCCACCCCACCACAACCAGTCTCAGGACAGTAGCCTCCCCAGGAATTGAAATTACAGGGGGTGTTTGAATTTACAAGGGGGGTGTCAGGGCCAATGAGGGGTGACACTGTGAGGCTTGCCCACCCCACCACAACCAGTCTCAGGACAGTAGCCTCCCCAGGAATTGAAATTACAGGGGGTGTTTGAATTTACAAGGGGGGTGTCAGGGCCAATGAGGGGTGACACTGTGAGGGTTGAGGTGGGCTGTATGGCACCATAGTTCACAAAACTGGGGGTTGTTGGAGAAATTCGGGGGGCGTACACCCCCATAGGGGGTGTAGAGAAATCCCTGTCTCAGGAGAGTAAAACTGAGTCTGCCCCGTGCCCCTGGTGGGGGTCCCAGATTTTCTGGCCAGGTGAGGCTGGCCCCCTCTGCCAGAGTCTCACCCCACATCTGTCCAGCCCCTGCCCAGCAGCTGATTCTGCCCCCAACCTCCAAATCAAGTCTGTCTCCCTGCCCCCATCAGTTTGCCCTCCCCTCTGCTCCTCCTGGGGCTCTGCCCCCCTCCCATCTTGCAGGCTGGGGAGGGGAGCTACAGAAAGGTCCCCTCCCCACTTCCAGTCTCTGGGAGGCTTTAGAGGCTTTTCACACTCCCTGTGCCCCAGCTCAGGTGGGTGCTTTGGGAGGGCGGAGGGGACAGAGCCCTGCTGAGAATAGGAGGCGGGGCTGTGGGGAAGGCAGCCAATCAGAGCTGCAGGGCGATGCTCACGCTGCAGGAGGGGAGCCAGAGCGGGGAGGGAAGAAATCTCATCGCTGGGAGCAGTGGGGCGAGGCCTCAGAGAGGTCCAGTGGGAGGGGAGGGGCTTGCACTCGGGATGGGGTGGGTGGGGACAGCCTGGGGGGAGCTGCCGCTTTGCCCCTCTCTGCCGAGCGAGGTGTGATGGGCCAGAGCAGCACATGCCCAGCCTCACCGCCATGGCCCCGCCTCGGCCCAGCCCGTTGGCATCATCTCGCTCCGTTTCGCTCTGTTGCAGGCCCGTCATCCTGGACCCAGCAGATCCGACGGGGATCGTGGGGGAGGGGTGCCGCTGGGACCTGATGGCAATGGAGGCTGAGAAGTGCTGTGCCCAGCAATGCTGCGTGGACTTTTACGGCGTTCCCGTGGAGCCATGGGATGTGCCGGTGAGTGCGGCATCACCACGATGTCTCTGACTGTGGCCGAGGAGCTGGCAGCCCAGGCCACCGGGCCTCCCCATCTCCACCCTGTGCAGCACGAGCCCAGCTCCCATCCTGGCCCTGTGCTTCCCCTTCTCCACCCAGCCGGTGCCCTCCCCCAAGGCCCCGTCTGTTTGGTGGCCCTGGCTTTGCCAGGCAGTCTCTCCCTCCCTGGGTGGTGGGTGAAGGTAGGTCTGGGGGAGGCAGGCCCCTGCTCTGCCCCCAGCCCCGCCCCTTCTGATCAGTCCTCGCCCCCCAGTCCCACGGGGAGGAAGGAGGACCCTTGGTTCCGGCGTCTCCAGCCCCAGAGCATGGGGAGGGCAGGCACTGGGGGCAGCAACATTCTGCCCCCAATAGGCCTACAGCAGGCATTCCAGGGGGCCAAGTGTGCCCAGGGCCAGGCTGACGATTTGGGAAGGCAGAGCCTACACCCGCCACCCCGACTCCCTCACCATGTTCCCTACAGACAGGCAATTGCTGCTCGGGGGGTAGGGGCAAAGCCCTTTCGCCAGGTGAAGTCGAGTCAGAGCCTTTCTCTGCCCCACAGCCAGACATCGGGCCCTGGGCACCCATGGGAGGCAGCTGCAGACACGGCCTTTCTTGTCCTTTGTCCGCCGAGGTCAGCCAAACTTCCTTCCCCCTTCCCAGCCCCACGGCTCTGCCCTGGCAGCTGTTCCGTCCCCAGAGAGCTAACGTGGGGAAGGGAGGAGCAGTGACCTTTTAGCACCCTGGGCCCAGGACTGCCAAGGCTGGATAGAACTCAGCTTGACTCCCTGTCTGGCCAGGCTGCTGTCTGCCCTCTGCTCTTCCCAGCCAACCCCAGTGATTAGTGCTGCGCGGTCTCAGAAAGGGTCTTGGGGCTGCCGAACAAGGGGCCTCAGTCGTCCCCAGGACCTGGAGCCCATGGGGGGCAGTCGCTGTCTCTTTACTGACCCCCAAGTTGGTGTGCTCCTCTTCCAGCCGGTGCAAACCCACGAAGGGAGCAGGGGCTTTGAGATCCACACCGGAGCACAAGAACCTCAGGTCTCAGTACCTCAGCTTGAGCCGGCCTACATTAGCTACCAAGCTAGAGCCTTCCAGCAGCCCAGAGAGCCGGCCTACACCAGCAGCTACACGGGTTACCAAGACAGAGCCTTCCAGCAGCCCGAAGAGCAGCCATCCTTCTGCACTGTCCTCTGAGCCCTCCCCATGGGGACAACTCTGGCTGGGGGGACAGAAGGAATGTGGTACCCACTGGGATGTGTGTGTGTGGGGGGGAAAGGGAGACCGGAGGCTCCAGTCCTGCTTTGTAAGCTACCTTGAGCCATGGGAGTTGGACTGGTCTCATCTCTGGGAGGATGTGGCCAGTTCCCACAGTCCCCATGTGTCATAGTCCCCCCCACCCGGGAGTGGTGGGAACACTGGCAGGCTCCCTTCCCCCCAACACGATCCTGCTCTCCTGGACAATCAGAGGAGAGAACTCCCCAGCTCTGGGCAGCTCTTGTGAGTGAGCCGGACCCGAGATCATTCCCAACTACTTGGCCCCCAACATGAGCATTACATCCTCCTCCCCCCACTCCTCACAGGACAGATCTCTCCCACAGCTCCCAGCCCTGGCCTGGCCCTTGTCTCTCTGCATTCGCCCTGATGCTTCCCGGGAGGAAATGCTCCCTCTGCTGAGTCCACCTGCCAGCCCTTCCCATTCCTACATCAGGATGGCGTGTCTTGCCCTAACAGCAGACGAGAGCCTCTCTCTGGGTGGACAGAGGGGTGAATTCCGCAATCAGACTCTCACAGTTCTCTGGGACACTGGGGGTGTCAAAACACAGCCAAATTCCCAAGAAAGCAGAGAGGCAGCTAGGGTGGGGAGGACTCTGGAATACCTACCCACAATGCACCATGCGTTGGCGATGTGCATGGCCACACCAGCACCGCGAGGTGCACGCTGTGAGCACGCTCCAATGCAGCAGCGGTGCTGGTCGCGCTGCCGACAGATCTCACCCTAGTGCAATGTGCAGAGACATCGCAAGGTGCTCCCCTCCTGCTGCCAGCACTGGCACCGCAGCAGGGAGGGTGGGAAATGTTACTGATTTAGAGTGGCAGCATTCTGATGCACTCCATGCTGGCATGATGCCAGCGTGGGCTGGGGAGGGGGGGGAGGAGAATGGGGTGTGGGCCCCGGGTATTAACCAAAGCCCTGGTGGCATCAGCCTGTGGGATGCAGCCCTCTCTGACCAGGCTGTGTCTACACTGCAACGAAACATCAGAAATTTCTGTATCTTTTCCAGCTTTTCTTTCGGAAGAGGATTTCCCTAAATTTGGCGCATCTACACAGCCCCAAATTTCAGAAAAATCTCCTCTTTCAACACATCCCTTTTTCCTCGTACAACGAGGTTTACAGGGATAGTGAAAGAATGCGTCCGCTTTTCCGAAATTGTTTTCAGAAAAGCAGACGCGTTCCTGGGAGGTGGCAGATCTTTTCCGGGATACCTCTGGTATTCCGGAAAAGATCTGCCATGTAGATGTAGCCTTACTCTGCATGAAATGAGGGTTACCATGAGTTGGAGTAAGAAGTCCTCCAGCTTTATGTTATTTTGAAATTAAGGCTTGTAATGTAATGTGCACTGTTATTTTGGAATAATGCCAATTATTCCAAAATAATGCTACTGTGTAGATGTACCTTTAGAGACTAACAAATATATATGTAACCCCCTTTTTTCCTCCCCGGGTTACTCAGGAGCAGGTCACACTCACAGGGGTGCCTGATGGTCTTGACATAAAAGGAGATCCCGAGTACCCCAGTGATGATGTTGTTTGGTTGGGGAAAACCTATCCACCCCCTTGCTGCAGTCCCTTGCTTATAAAGAATGTATAATGGCGGTGCCGCCACCTGGCTAGCCTTGTACACTTACTGGTGTGCCATGAGAGCCTCCCGGAATATACTCATTCCAGCTATAATCTGGATCTAATTCCAGAACAACAACTACAAATCATATACATCTATTAGATTACATTAGAATGAACAACCTTTACTTAACTTAAAGAAACACAATTTAACAAATTAACAATGAAATAACATCAATGAACAAAGTACACAGAAGTAAAAGGAACTTATCTAGCTGCCAATATTTATCCCACCCCTGGACTCGCAGTCCCAGACTCTTGCTTGCACGGGTGCGCTTGAAGAACTACAGCTGTAATGGAGGTTCTCTGCAGGCAGTGTGGGTCCAAGCTAGGCAGCAGCTCTGTCCCAGGCAGCACTTTCCCAACTAGGCCCAATTACTTACAGCCTCATGCTGTGCCTATCAGAAGCATCCTGCTAGATTCCAGTTCCAAAGGCATCTAGTCCCAGTCTGTAGCTGCACTCTAACAGCCCTTGGACTGGATTAAACTCCTCCACAGCAGCCTGGCTCCCCTTCTGTTCCAAGACCCAAGGGTAGAGCCCCAGACTGTTAGGCCTTTCTTTTCATGCACATGGAGAGCCTTGATCTCCCACACAAGAGTAACTTTCTTCCTGTTTTTCCCAAGGGCTCATGGGAATTGTAGTCTGTGAGTCTAGATTGCAGCACACAGGGTCTTTCCAGAAAATAAGCAGAGGCACCTTTAGTAAGAGGACTACATAGATAGATAGATAGTCTTCCTTTTTCTAGTTTCTCTGTGCTATCCCTTGCCTTTTGCTTTCTGTTTAATAATAGTCTGTATAGCCCATCAAGGCTGCATATTTTGCAACACCACTGACAATCTTTGTCCAAAGAAGCAAGTAAAAGCAGTAGTTCCATGCTGGTTCAAATTTGCCAGGATCAGTGGCTCAGCCAAGGGTACTCGGGGTGTTTCTCCAGCAGTGAGGTTACAAGGGACAGTCACCACCAGAGACAGAGGTTGCATTTTGTCTGTGCACTGTTCTGTGCTCTCCTCCTTTGTCCGTGTTTTGTCTTAAAGGAAGCAGGCTCACACTTTTAACAGCAACATCTCCAGCCCAGCTCAAGTCCCCCTCATCCCCAACTGACAGTCATCATTACCATCTGTAATGCCCTCTGAGGGCACATCAACACTACAGCATTATTCTGAAATAACTCGCGTTATTTTGAAATCGCGAGGTGAGTCTCCACACAGCAAGCCCCTTATTTCAAAATTATTTCAAAATAACGGGCTTCTTATTCCAGAATAATAAACCCTCATTTCATGAGGAATAACGCCTGTTTCGAAACTGCTATTTTGAAATAACTCCTCCTCGGGGCTATTCAAAGTAATTACTTCCCAGTGCTTCCTGGGGCTCTAAATCAAGGTAGCACATCCACATTAGGGAAGTCTGCCTCGGACTAATCTCAAGGCTTCCCTGTAGTGTGCATGTACTATTTCAAAATTGTTATTTTGGGAGTTATTATTCCGAAATAGCTTATTCCAAAGTAAGCGCATAGTGTAGAGACTAATAAGTAATGGGTAGCAGGTATAAAATAAACAAAAGGAAGTACTACTTCATGTGCGCACAGTCAACCTGTGGAACTCCTTGCCAGAGGATGCTGTGCAGACCAGGACTTTAACAGCATTTTAAAAAGAGCTAGATAAATGATGGGTGGGTCCATCAATGATTATTAACCAGGATGGGCAAGGATGGTGTTCCTAGCCTCTGTTTGTCAGAGGCTGGGAATGGGTGACAGGGGATGGATTACTTGATGATTCCCTGTTCTGTTCGCTCCCTCTGGGGCATTTGGCATTGGCCACTGTGGGCAGACTGGATACGGGCCTCGATGAATCTTTGGTCTGATCCAGTATGGCTGTTTTTATTTTCTTACTATTGGACAGGTTTTTCTATCTACAAACTTTCTGCAGCTAAAGGGACTGGGCAGAAGGGCTGTGGTTAAAATCAAACTATTTACATTTCAGATGCTTTAACTGTTTGTCCTTTTTTTGGTCCCTTTAATAAAAAATATTAACAAAACACTTACTGGTTGGTTTGCCCTGGGGCTGAGCAGACCAAGGGCTCTGCATCTGTTAACACCTTTGAGTCACTGGGCCCATTTAACCCATCAAAAGTAATATAACAGTGAGGCCCATTGAACACGGGTTCCTCTGGGTTTGCACAGCAGGAGAAGGAAAGGCCATGTGACAGGGACTTGGGGAGAGGACGTATCTAACTACTTCCCCGAGGGACGTGAATTAGGAGCATGAGAGCTGGGAGGGGAAGATGGAGAATTTATTCTGCTGGCCAGTGTGGGGACTTGGGAGAAGTAGGTCCTGCCAACAAATTCAGGAGAGGAGCAGGCAGCCTGTGGGGGCTGAGCCAAGAGCTGAGTGGACAAGCTGGGTGACCAGAGGCGCTGGAGTGGCCTTGCCTCTGCTGGGCCCACCCTGACGTGCACTGAGTGGGCAGGGACAGTGTTTATGAGGGGAGCTGGATTCTGCTGGCCAGTGTGGGGACTTGGGAGAAGTAGGTCCTGCCAACAAATTCAGGAGAGGAGCAGGCAGCCTGTGGGGGCTGAGCCAAGAGCTGAGTGGACAAGCTGGGTGACCAGAGGCGCTGGAGTGGCCTTGCCTCTGCTGGGCCCACCCTGACGTGCACTGAGTGGGCAGGGACAGTGTTTATGAGGGGAGCTGGTGGCAGGGTCAGCAGCCAGAAGCTGGAGGGTCACAGCACTGCACCTGCTCTCCGCAGAAGCCATTTGGTCTTCCTTGGTCAGAGGACACCAAGACGGCCCTTTGTTGGTGAGCACCAGCTGTGACCTGTAGGGACTTGGCACCAGGGGCAGTCACAGCTTGAGGCCACCAGATACCCACTGTTTCCCTGCCAGGGATGCCAGCCCCCATCTCTGAGCTCCCAATCCACCAGCCAATGCATGGCTCGGGGCGGGGGAGAAGGGCTGTGATGGGGCGGACTAGGCCCAAAGCCCCATCTGCCTCTCACTCAAGGGAGAAGAGCAGAAGAGAGGTCCTCCAGTCCAGGCAGGGTGTCAGCTTCTGCTGCAGCCAATCAGGGCCCAACAAGCTGGTATAAAAGAAGCTGCTAGGCCAGGGCCTGGCAGTTTCTAGCTGGCGCTCAAGCCTGATAGACCCAGGGACTGACTGGGAAGGCAGCAACACCTCAAACAGCTCTGAGGCTATGTCTAGACTACCCTCAGCTTCCAAAAGAAGATATGCAAATTAGGCACAAATTTGCATATCTTCTTCTGATCTCTTTTTCTGAAGAGATTTTTTCAAAAAAAAAAAAAGCAGCCTAGACTGGGTTTTTCATGCAACTCCCCCCTTTTTTCGAAAGAACTCTTATCCCTCAAAAAATGAGGATTAC